CAAACTTCCATCCACTGGCTGTCTCCTGCACGCCACCTACTGGGGAATCAAGTCTGAAACCCAGACATGTGCCCTGACCAGGAACCGAACCCCGGAGACGCTTAGTAAGTGGGCCACCCTGGCCAGGTGAAACGGGACCACTTTCTCACACCATGTACAGAAATAACCTCAAAACAGATTAAACCTTAAATGTAAGACATGAAACCATAAACCTTCTAGAAGAAAACACAGGCAGCAAACTCTGACATCAGTCTTTCCTTTTTAAACACGTTTCCTCGGGCAAAGGCAACAACAAAAATAAGTGGAGCCACACCAAACAAGACTTTCCGCAGGCCTAGCTGGCGTGGCTGTGGATAGAGCATCAGCCTGTGACTTGGTAGGGGAAGGGGTCCCCGGGGTATGGGCTCCATCTCCAGTGGAGGGGGTGCAGGAGGCAGCCAATCAATGATTCTCTCTCATCATTGATGTTTCTATCTCTCTCCCTCTCCCTTCCTTTCTGAAATCAATTTTTAAAAAACATCACTAAAAAAAAAAAAAAAAAAAAAAAAACACACACACACACACACACACACACAAAGTTTTGCATAGCAAAGGGAACCAACAACAACACAAAAAGACAACATACTGAATGGGAGAAGATATTTGCAAACGATACATCAAATAATGCATGAACATCCAATATATGTAAGGACCTCATACAACTGTACACACACAAAAAAAAACCCACAAGCAATCAAGCAATCTAATTTAAAAAATGTGCAGAGGACATAAATAGACATTTCTTCAAAGAGAACATATGCACCTGAAACACCAATCAGATAGAACATATGCACCTTTATGTTCAGATAGAACATATGCACCTTTATGTTCACAGCAGCGTTTTTCTACAACTAGTGGCCCTGTGCACGAATCCGTGTGCGAGTAGTTCCCTGCCGCTTGCCTCAGCTGGCTGCCCGCCCACCGCCACTGCAGCTCTCCGCTGCAGGTAGCTCGCTGCCCCGCCCTCCTGTGGCTCCCTCCCACTTGTAGCTTGCTGTCCGCTGTCCTGGTGATGGGCTGTCCTGCATCATGGAGTAACGACCATCTGCATATTACCTCTTTATTAAATAGGATAGCTAGGATCTAGAAACAGCCCAAGTGCCCATCAGTATATGAGTGGGTAAAGAAGCTGTGGAATACTATACAGCTGTAAAAAAAAAAAAAAAAAAGGAGGAAGAAGAAGAAGGAAGTCTTACCCTTTGAGACAGTATGGAGAAACCTGGAGACTATTATGCTCAGCAAAATAAGTCAGTTGGAGAAAGACAAATATCACATGATCTCACTTATATGTGGAATCTAAGGAACAAAATAGGTCCAGAGACATGGAAGCATGGAACAGACTGACAGATCTCAGAGGGCAGGGGTGGGTAGGGGAGAAGGTTAACCAAAGAACTTATATGCGTGTATGCATAGCCCATGGGCACAGACAACAAAGGCCTGGGGGGGCAGGAGCCAGGTGGAGGGGGACAAAAGAGGAGAAATGAGGGACATTTGTAATACTCGCAACAATAAAAATTTTCAAGAAGAGGCCAATAGACATGAAAAAATGCTCAGCATCACTAATCATCAGGGAAATGCATATCAAAACCACAATGAGATACCACATCTCTCTAGTCAGAATGACTACCACAAAAACAAATCAACAAATTGCCCTACAAAAAGCACAAAAAACCACACACAAAAAAACCAACAAAATGGCTCAGTGGATAGAGTGTCAACCTCAGACTGAAGGGTCCCAGATTTGATTCTGGTCAAGGGCATGTGCTTCAATTGCAGGCTCAATCCCCTGTCCTCATCGGGGCCCACGCAGGAGGCAACCAATCGCTGTGTCTCTCTCACATCGATGTTTCTCTCTCTCCTCCTTTCCACTCTCTCTAAAAAAAAAAAATCAATCGAAAAATATCCCCAGGTGAGGATTAATAACAACAATAAATCAACAAGTAAGGCCTGGTGAGGATGTGGAGAAAGGGGAACCCTTGTACACTCTTGGTGCAAGGGCACAGTCAATATGGAAAACAGTATGAAAGTCTCAAAAAATTAAAAGTAGAACTACCTATGACCACCTCTGGTATTTATCTGAAGAAAACAAAACCAAATTTGAAAATATATATGCACCTATACATTCACTGTAGCATTATTTACAAATCAAGATACGAAAGAAACCTAGGTGTTAATAGATGGATGTACAGATAAAGATGTGATACACATATATACAATTGGATATTATTCAGCAACAAAAGAAAATAAAATCTTGATATTTGTGACAACATGAATGGACCTAGAAGGTATTATGCTAAGTGAATTAAGTCAGAGAAAGATAAATACTGTATGATATCACTTATGTGTGGAATTAAAAAAAAAGAATAAACAAAATAGGATATAGACCATAGATATAAAGAACAAGCTGATAAAATACACACACACACACACACACACACACAAACAAACCACAGCTGATGGTTGCCAAAGCAGAGAGTTAGGGGGATTGATAAAAAAGAAAGAAAAGAAATATCCCCCAAAACAAGAAAAAAAGTAAATAAAGTTGGAGTCACTATAATCAAGCTGCTAAATTACTAAAAATCAAGTAAGTTGAGGCATGAGGAAACATTCTATTCTTCTATTGACTATCCTGGGAACTTGACCTTTTGAACTTGCCAGCCCTGTGGCATTGCCTGGACAGACATCAATTCCCTGTGTATCAATACCTGGACACACACCGGACCTCCAATGCCCCTCTTACTACCCCTGAAGGGCTCATTATCCACATCACCTGACATGACCAGACCTGCCGCGGGCACCCATACTCCAGACTACCTGGTGCCCATCACCCAGACCGTCTGACTCTTCTGGATCCCACTGGCCATCGCCTGACCTGCTCCACACCAGCAGGCCTTCACTTCTGACTCCAGGGTTCTCCTAAGCCAGACGCCAAGCCCTTCTCCCAGATACTGTTACGCTCAGGACCGTTACCCAGAACACCACGTCTTTACCACAGAAACCAGAGCCCTGGCCCGATCACCTGGTTTGGTGCGTTTACTTCCAACACCAGGCCTCTCAAGGTTCAGCAGTTCGAATTCTCTCCTGTCCCGCTCCCCGCGCGCTCCCATTTCCGCGCCAGGCCCGGGCCGCCAGGCCCTTCACCTCCTCAGCAGCGCGGCACTCAGGCCGCCCGGGCTCCGGCACCGACGTCTACTCCTGGCCGGCCTGGGCCGCACTCCGCCTCGAGCCCGTTGGTTTCCTTCCCCCTTGGGCCGACATAGCTTTGGCCTAGATCCCCGGGGGGGTCAGGCCCCGACCCTCCGAAGCACCCAGGCTCTCTGTCCCGTCCCAGCGGACTCACAAAGACAAGGTCCGGCCGCTCCTGCCGCGAAAGTCGCGCCATGACCACCATTTTGCCAGCTCTCCAGCTTCAGCCAGAAGTCGCGTTATAATGACGTCTCTATCTGAAGCCCCGCCCACCCCGAGACAGACTCATTTTCTATTGGCTGACCACGTTCGGAGCGTGCAGTCGAGTCTCGGCTTTCCTTCGGTCTTCTTCACCGACCGGAAGTAGAGAGTGAGAGCCGGAGATGACGTCATTAAACGCGACAGCTCGTCGGCCAATCACCTTCTTCGGTCGAACCCGTGCGTTCTAATACGCTGCTGCCTGGAGGCTTGGCTTTGGACCGGACCGACTTTGTTGCCTCAGGGAAGCGAAATGGGAGTGAAGTTGGAGGTGTTTCGGGTCAGTGGGCCCCGGAGCGGGTGGGCGGGGCGGGTTGTCTCCTTGGATCTGCGGAGGGAGCTCTGAGAAGGAGGGCGCTCTGGGGAGAAAGATCCTGAGATTTGAGAAGGCACTTGAGGGTTGGAAACCCAGAGAAGAGGGCTTCTGATTAGGGCGGCTCTAGTAGGGCCGGTGTGAGGAAGGGCCTCCTGAGAGGGGTGACCAGAGGAGGGGGCTCTAGAAGGAAGAAGGCTCAAGACTCGGGGAGCTCTGGGGCTCAGGATGGGGTGTGTGTGTGTTTGGTAGGGGGACTCCTACACTAGGGGGTAGACGCTGAAGAATGAGGGGTTCGGCGTGCTCCCGGGACCCGCCTTTGGGGGCGGGGGCATTGAGGAAGGAGCTCTTGTGCGCCTGGGGGCCAGGTCGTGTGTGGCCTCTGAGAGGGAGTCTCCCAGATTCCCATAATCCTGGGGCTCTTGGGGGGCCCTGAGGAGGCGCTGCTGGGCTGTGCTAGCGGATGGTCTGCAGGCTCTGAGCAGCCTCTGCTCATCGCCTTCCCCCTTCCAGATGACACTGTACCTCACCTTCCCTGTGGCTATGTTCTGGATTGCCAACCAGGCCGAGTGGTTTGAGGACAACGTCATTCAGCGAAAGGTGGGCGCTGGGAGTGTTCATGGGCTTATGGGAGTGGGGGAGGGTAGGGGGCACCAAGTTCTGCCTTCCATGGGCTGACCTGTCATGGGTGTGGGGCTCTGGAGGCTCCTGGTTCATCTGTGACTTTATTCCCCCAGAGGGAGCTGTGGCCACCTGAGAAGGAGGACCAGGTAAGTGACATACTCTTCCTCCCACCCGAGGGACAGAGGGGCCTGGCTCCCTATGACCAGGGTGGGTTGGAATGAAAATGTTGCCTGGTCCTGAGCAGGGAACTGAGAGTAGAGGACCACGAGGTTTCCTTACTGCCCTCTCCCCAAATGATGAAGCTGATCCCACTTGGACCCTGCTTATAATTGCACAGGGCTTCCAGTGTAGACACTGAAGTCTAAAGCCATGGCCGGGGGAGTGGGAGGCAGGGTGGTGGGAGGGGGTCCAGGCTCTTAAGTGTGTCCCACCTCTTCCTCACCATTAGCGCCAAGAACTGGAAGAATTCAAAGCGAGGATACGGAAGCAGCGGGAGGAGAAGCTCCTTCGCACTGCCCAGCAGAGCTTCGGAAGCCCCCAAGGACCTGTATCCCACCCGTGAAACACACACACTCAGTTCTTTCTCCTGGAAGCGTTTTATTGTCTGATTTTGGGGGGCATGGGGTGGGGTGCAAGATGGCTCAGGCCCTCACGGGGCTTGTGTCTGGGGCTGGGGGCTGCTGTTCCGACGGAAGCTGAGAGCAGAGGGGTCCGGAGGGGTGAGGAGGGGCTGGGGGCTGTGGGTCCCAGCTCGTTTCTGCACTCCGTCCTGTGGATGAAGAGGGGTCAACCAGAGAAGAGGCCAAGGGCAGCGCTGGCCCGAACAGACAAGCATAGGAAGGAGGGTGCAGGTGGGAACTGTTGTTGCACTTCCCACCATCTGCCCCCACCATCTGGAGCTCCTGCATACCTTAGTTACTCAACACTTAGGGTGCTATTTGGGTGTGATGTAGGGGATCTTGGGGGTCCCACTGGAGTCTTGATCAGAACCCAAGCTGTGCATGGTTACACATGACGTAGACACACATGAGTACATGAGCTCATGTGCCCTCCTCCCTGGGGATGTCTTCCCAGGAGAGGGGTTTATTCTATCAACCCACCCTGACACCCTCAGTTACAGCAATAGGAGCCATGAGCTCCAGCCATGGCTCTGACTTAATGTGCCCTCTGCATGACCTTGTGGCCCTCTTGACCTTGTCTGGGCCTTGGTTCTCTTGTCTAAAGTCAGATATTGGATTGGCCAGGGCCTTGGGACTGGGAGCTGCTGTTCCAATGGAAGCTGAGAGCAGAGGGGTCCGGAGGGGTGAGGAGGGACTGGGGGGTCTAGCACATGATAGACTGGTAGGGGTGGGGGGGTGGGGAGGGCCCCATTCCCTCCAGACTGGGGGTGAGAGGCAGGATTGGGGTCTCAGCATGGCTACTCTCCCTCAGCCCCAGCAGAACATCACCTACCTTGGGGCCCACAGGCTGGAAACCAGGCAGGGTGCTGACTGTCACACGCTGGTCATCCATGCGGCGGCCCTGGGTGCTGGCCACCATGTCTATGAGACTGTCCACCTCCGGCATGGGGCCGCTCTCTGCAGGGAGCACCAGCAGGTGAAGAGGAACACACACAGACAGAAGCCCGGGAGCACAGCCCAGCTGGAGCCCTCGGCCCACCCTCCCCTCGCTCTCCGGGGCGCACGCTCACTCTCCCCTGCCAAGCCTTGCCCCTGGACCCACAAGCATCTGTGTCCCCAGGCGCCCGCTCACTCAGACAGACTTGCCGAGATGGTAACTTGTCCTCCGCTATGCCCTACCCCATTTACTCCCCCGGGCAGCACCCTCCCTCCACCCCACCCCACTCTCACGGCTCTTGGAGATGGTGCCTGGCTCTGCCTGCAGCGAGCAGCGCTGCTCCTCCATCCGGTCGCCCTGCACGTGGCTCAGCAGGTTGAAGAAGCCTTCTTGGTCTGGGGAGCCCGCCTGGGAGACAGACACATCTGGTCAGCTGGGCCTTCCGCCGTGGGCCCCTCACTGGCTCCCACCTGGCCCCCGGCACTGCCCGCCTCTCCGGAGCTCTCACCATGCGCCCCGCTGGTGCGCTGTCTGCAGAGCTGCTGTGAACAAGACAAGAGTCTCCTTCACAGTCCCAGCCCCCTCGGTCCGGCCATCAGCGCCATGGCACGTGGTGCTGCCTCAAGGGAGAAGCTTCTGTCATCCCAGATTGGGGCCTGGCTGTAGCACACCAGCCAGGAAAACGTCCCAGGGGCCGCCCGGAAACCCCAGCATCCCCCCGGCTCACCGACCATCGCTGAGCCGCTGACCTCTGCCCTGGCGCTGTGTGAGGCACTTGGACCCTCATGCCCACCTGTACGTCCTTGGGCAGCAAACTGGGTCAGGGGCCCCAAGAGACTCAATCGCTAATTAGATGCCCTACAAACTAGTTATTGTCATTCACTGCTCTTGAGGAGTTGAGGGGGGGTGGGCGGAGAGGGACCTGCTTACCTTGACACGGAGCTGAACCCACATCCACCTCTTCCCCGTTTGTCTTTGCTTCTGCTTCCAGGACCCCGTCCATTCCCTGCCGGCCTCTGGCCCAGCCCCGTGCCAGGCTTTTTAAAAAACAGACGCGGGGGCAGTGGGTACCCAGCCCCAAATCCCCAGATCACACCCCATCTGCTCGCACCCAAGCTTAAACCCCATAAAGATGATCCAGATGATTGCTTTTGCCGGGCACTGCTGGGCTGCTGTGGGGGCAGGAAGCCAGCCGGGGGCCTGGGTTGGGACTTGCTGACCTGCCTCAAGAACTCTCAGGTGGGATACAGCAGGCCAGAGGGTGCCCCCACAGAGGGTCGTAAGGGCCGGCTGGGCCCCATTGGGAAGAACAGGCTAACAGGGCCGCTCAGGTGGGGTCTGCAGCCCAGTCTCACCGGCAGGAAGGCAGTTGCCATCCGCAGGCGGCAGGTAAAGTCGGACCTAAAGACCCCTCAGGCACTACCTGCCTCCTTGCTCTCTCCCTGTCTCCTGGCAACCTCAGCCGCTACTCACACCCTGGGTCTGGTTGCCTCCCCTAGGCCCCCAAGCCAAGGTTTGGGATCTCCTGTCTCCCCAGGTGAGCTGTCTCTGATTTGTATGCTCAGCCCTGCTGGGGAGGGGGAGGAGTGGGGAAGCCCTGCCCTGCTCCCCACCTCCTCCCACCCCCACAGCTATGGCTTCCTCTCCCTCAGTGTGGGGGGGGGGGGGGGAGGGGGTACCCCTGAGAGGCTCCCATCCACACCCCACCCCCCCTCAAGATGCCTTCCTAGAAACTAGTGAAAGTCTCTTCCGGAGTAAATGGCCACATTGTCGCCACCCCTCCTGAGTGCAGAGCTTGGTCCCTCCGCAGGCAGCCCTTCCCTTCAGGGTCACACACTCTCCATGGCCTCAATCCTCTATGCCAACGTGATGTCCTGCTCCACCACCGGCGTGTTACTCTCCCGGGGCCGCCCTGTCACAACCCGGTAGCTTAGAACAACAGACACTTATTGTCACAGTTCTGGAGCCAGGGTTCAAATCCTGAAGCTTGTGGGGAAGGGTCCTTCCTCGCCTCTCCCTGCTTCTGGTGGCTGCTGGCAGACCTTGGTGGTGTTCCTTGGATTGTACACACTCTCAGCTTCTGTCATCACATGATGCTCCCATGTGTCCTTGTCTTCACATGGCTGTCCTAAGACATGGAGCCCAGTCATTGCATATTTCCAAATAGGGTCATATTCTGAGGTCCTGGGGGTCAGGATTTCTTTTTTTCTTTTTATTGATTTCAGGGAGGAAGGGAGAGGGAGAGAGAGAAACATCAGTGATGAGAGAGAACCATTGACTGGCTGCCTCCTGCAAGGCCCACACAAGGGATTGAGCTGCAACCTGGGTATGTGCCTGGCCAGGAATTGAACCGCGACTCTTGGTTCATAGGTCAATGCTCAACCTCTGAGCCATGTCGACTGGCCGGGTCAACATACTTTTATTTTAGGGATGAAGGGGACAAGAGCCTGTAAGAGCTGAAAAGCCCGGTCACCCTCACAGAGGAGAGGGTGGGTGGCAGGCCCTTTAGGCTCTCACCCCAGGGGACCAGTTATGAAGCTGGTGTTGATCCCAGCTGCCTCATGCTCTCCCAGTGCCCCTCCCCTTGCAATTTGTCCTCCCCACGTAGCAGCTGCAGGGGTCCCTCCTTCCCCTGCTCAGAACTCTCCCTGGGCCCTCACTGTCCTCAGGAGAAAACCCAAACGCCCTGGGTAATGGACATATTGGACTGATGATGGCGCGCAACTCATCCCAGCTTCATATGCTAAAAGCTGTTTAACAGTAGTACTAACATGTGATATCATAATTCAATAGAACTGTTAAAGAAAAGGAAAGGATGCCAAAACCGGTTTGGCTCAATGGATAGAGCGTTGGACTGCGGACTGAAGGGTTCCGGGTTTGATTCCGGTCAAGGGCATGTATCTTGGTTGTGGGCACATCCCCAGTAGGGGGTGTGCAGGAGGCAGCTGATTGATGATTCTCTCTCATCGATGTTTCTAGCTCTCTATCCCTCTCTCTTCCTCTCTGTAAAAAATCAATAAAATATATTTTTTTTAAAAAAGAAAAGGAAAGGAAAGGAGAGAGAGGGAGGGAAGAAAAGGAAGGGAAGAAAGAAAAGAATGAAGAAAGGAAGAAAAAGAAAGAAGGAAAGGTGGAAAAAGAACCAAATCTTTGTCTGGAGTGGCAGCCCTGGTTTGCCTGGAACTATCCCAGTTTATCGGGATCCTGCATCCCAGGACCCTCTATCCCAGGCAGATCGGGCTGGCTCAGTCCTACACTCTCCTACAGAAAGCTGGCCTCCGCACTCCTCCAGCTCACCTCCTGCCCAGCCCCGTGCCCCACCACCACCTGCTCTTCTCTGCCTGGACCACTGCATGACTGCTGCCTGATGCCATTCAGGTTAACTCTAAAGGCCACCCCCTCAGAGGGTTCCTCTGGATGCGACTCCGTGGAAGGACCTCGTTTCCACGCAACAGTACCACCGCCAGTAAAGAACCCGCTCGCCGACGTGGCATTGCTACTACTACACATCTCCGTTTGTTTCCGTTAGGGCAGGATTGGTTATCTCCTATCCCCTCCCTCCTGAACGCAAGGGGAAGCCCCTCACGGCAGACCTTTTGTTGCCTGTCCACGCCTGTCCCAGTGGCAAAGGGCCGGGTACCTGGTCCACTGAAGAAACACTGAATGGAGGGAGGGTTCAGGGCTCTGCCTTCACACAAGTGCATCACCCTTTAAAGCCGAGACCCCACCCTCCTGGGGGCGGCTGGACTGTGCCTGGGACAGGTCAGCCTTTCCCACCGCAGGAGCCGGTCCCAGGTGTGAACGGAGGTGTGTGCGCGCGTGCCATGCAACCCACGTGCCTATCAGCCACGAATGTGACTGTCACCCTGGGGGTGCAACCAGGGCGCACCGGCCATGAGGCCTCCCGGACCCTCTCCCCTCTCCGTTTCCAATCCTCACCTGAGGATGCTTGTGTTGGCGGCGCGGGGCGGGGCCAGACGGGAGGGGCGGGGCCAGGCGGGGCGGGGCCCACGTGAGTGGCTCGCGGCCACGCCCCCACCTTTGGCAGACCCGGAAGCGGCGGTGCCCCTTGGGGAAGATGGCGCCCTCGGGGCTGAAGGCGGTGGTGGGGGAAAGTGAGTGTTGCCCCGGCCGGGCTCCGGCGTCCCCCGGGGGGCGGGGGCCGGGGGCGCACGGGCTCTGGGACCCGGGGGCGGCCAGGTGGGGCGGGGCCGGCGGCGCACCTGATCCTCGACGGGGCGGGCGGGACTGGGTTGCAGCTGGACAGCCGGCTCGGAGAGCCGGAGCCGAGCGAACCTGGGACTGCGCTCCGGGGGCCCGAGGGGCGGCGCCGGGCTCAGCTGGGCGTCCGCGCTCCCGGGGCTCCGCGCGGGCAGCGTCCTGGGGGCTGGGTTCTGGGCCCGGTGCTGCAGATTGGGGCCGGGCTGGGTGCTCTGACAGCGACCCCAGCTGGTGGGAGTGCCCAGGGGGTGTGTCCAGGCCCCGTTCAGGCCCGGGGGTGGGGGTGCGACGTGCGGACCCGGGGTCCAGGCCGGGCGGGTCCGGACTTGGGGGAGGGGTGAAGATCGCCAGTCCGGAGCCTCGGGTGGTTCCGGCCTCGGCTGCGCCTTCCGCCCCGGCTGTCCCGATAACAGTGGTGACACTCGGCGGGCGGGGCCATTCCTTCTCTGTCCCCCTTCCGCTGGGCAGGCAGAGTGTGGTTCAAACCCCCAGCGCCCCAACGGAAAAAGGAACCTCTAACTACGTGGTTAAAGGGAGCCCGGAAAGCCACTGACTCCATTTTACAGATGAGGAAACTGAGGCTGGAGGTTGGGTGATGGAATGACCATAGCCAGGCACACTTCAAAGCGGGGGTGGGTTGGGGGAGGGCGGGGGGTAGACAGGGGCTCCTGCGGAAACTGGTGGAGGTGGAGTGAGGACTCTAGTCAAAACCGCCGCCCCAGGAGACGGTGAGGCCCACGGTGAAGCCAAGTCCATTTCTGGAGACAGGAAGACCTGTATTGAGCCCTGACTTGGCAGTTAAGGTTCATCTTCTCACCTGTGGTCTCTACTCATAGGTTGAAAACCGCTGCGGTAGAGCCTAAGACCATCGGAAAACACAGATGTTTACATTACGATTCATTAACAGGAGCAAAATTACAGTTATGAAGTAGCAACGAAAATAATTTTATGGTTGGGGTCACCACAACATGAGGAGCTGTATTAAAGGGTCGCAGCATTAGAAAGGTTGAGAACCACTGCTCTAAAGTATAGTTTCCAGCTACTTATATAGCAGGCTCTGGGCCACTCAGCCATTCGGGTGCTTAGTCTAGTCCTTGCCCTCTGTGAACCTCCGTTTCCCTGTTTATAAGTTGGGGGTGACGGCAGGAGCTGCGTCACAGGATGGGGGAGGGGTAAACGGGAGTTAGGATGGTTTGGTGTGTGTCGGGCAGAGGACCCGGCAGCCTAACCCACCCTCCCCTACAGAGATTCTGAGTGGAGTCATTCGGAGCGTCAAAAAGGATGGCGAATGGAAGGTAGGAGTGAGCAGAATGGTTTGTGCAAACGAATGTGGGGTGCCTTGAATGTGAGGCACCCCAAACTCCCTGAGGGGCCTGGTCGGGTCTGGTGCGAGGGAAAGGGGTCCTGGGTCTTCCCATCCAGCCCCTGCGGCTGTCAGTCCTGCACCACCCCAGCCCCCCCTCTGGGGCAGCTTCAGCCTCTCTTGCCCACTTGTCTGCCCATCGCCCATCTCTCCGTCTGTCCGTCCATCTGTCCGGACAGGTGCTCATCATGGACCACCCGAGCATGCGCATCTTGTCATCCTGCTGCAAGATGTCAGACATCCTGGCTGAGGGCATCACCAGTGAGTGACACCCACCCATGCTCTCCAGATGGGACCTGAGTGTGGGAGCCGAGGAGGGGCAGACCCCCCCCCCGGACTCCCCACTGTGCCACCCCTGTGTGTGTGCTTGTGGAGACCCTCAGGGTGAATCAGGGAGGGCCCCCAGAATGCACAGCCCCTGGGGTGGGGCTGTGGGACCCCGGGGTGCAGAGCTTTGCTATGCCCGCAGTCCCCACGCTGCGTCATGCGTCCCTTCCTCTCTCCTTCCAGTTGTGGAGGACATCAACAAGCGGCGAGAGCCCATCCCCAGCCTGGAGGCCATTTACCTGCTGAGCCCCACGGAGAAGGTGCCTATGCGAGCGAGTGTGTGAGTGCCTGGGTGCATGCCTCTGCACGTCTGCATGTGTGTGGGAGCACAGGCCAGGCTGGGGGGCTGGGGCAGAGGACGGGGGGCCCCGGGGGCGCAGGGCCAGGCCTGGAGATTGACCTGCATTCCCCAGTCGGTGCAGGCCCTCATCGCAGACTTCCGGGGGACCCCGACTTTCACCTACAAAGCGGCACACATCTTCTTCACGGACAGTGAGTGAGGGTCCTGAGGAGGGCGCAGGAGGAGGGGCTGAGGCTGGGGACGGGCGGCTCTGGTCTAACGCCCCCTCTTGCCCACCCTAGCCTGCCCTGAGCCTCTGTTCAGTGAGCTGGGCCGCTCCCGCCTGGCAAAGGTAGTGAAGACGCTGAAGGAGATCCACCTCGCCTTCCTCCCCTACGAGGCCCAGGTACAGCCCAGCCTCGTCCCGGCAGGTGGGGGGTCTGTTACCCAGCACCCGGCTCCCTCAGAAACAGGCCAGAGACAAGCCAAGGGGACAGCGCGTCAGAGAGGAGCCAACGTGGAGGGCTGGGCGCCTGGGCTGCGTCCACGGGGCGGGAGGCGCGGCCCTGAGTCGTCCTGCCCGGGGGCGCAGGGGCCGGGTGTTCCTCTCCTCCAGGCTGGCAGGTGCAGCTCCGGCAGCGCGGGCATGTGTCCTTGCAGGTGTTCTCCCTGGACGCCCCCCACAGCACCTACAACCTCTACTGCCCCTTCCGGGCCGGGGAGCGGGCGCGGCAGCTGGAGGCGCTGGCCCAGCAGATCGCCACACTGTGCGCCACGCTGCAGGAGTACCCCGCCATCCGCTACCACAAGTGGGGACCCCACCCCGATGCTGCCCCTGCCCCCATCCTGCATCCCCCTCTCACCTCTTTTTGGGCCCTAGCCCCAGTCCTCACCCATTACCTGACTCCCAGCCCCAGCCCCATCCTTGGGGCTGTGCTTGACCCCAGGCTGTGCTTGGCCCTCCCCACACCACTCCCTCTGGCCCCACCTCTGCCATCCCGCCCCCAGGGGACCCGAGGACACGGCCCAGCTGGCCCATGCTGTCCTGGCCAAGCTGAATGCCTTCAAGGCGGACACCCCCAGTCTTGGCGAGGTAAGGGGTGTGCTCGGGGTGTGTGTGTGTGTGTGTGTGTGTGTGTGTGTCCAGCCAGGGTCAGGGTTAATGTCCTCATCCCGCCCACCCAGGGCCCTGAGAAAACCCGCTCGCAGCTGCTGATCATGGACCGGGCGGCCGACCCCGTGTCCCCGCTGCTGCACGAGCTCACGTTCCAGGCCATGGCCTATGACTTGCTGGACATTGAGCAGGACACGTACAGGTGGGCGGTTCCCGGAAACCCGTTCCCCGTCACAGCTGCCTGGAGAAACAGTCTCTGTCACCCCTGTTCCCCCACGGTCCTCGGCCGTGCCCTGACCTTCTGTCTCCCTCCTGCAGGTACGAGACCACAGGGCTGAGCGAGGCCTGCGAGAAGGCTGTGCTGCTGGACGAGGACGACGAGCTGTGGGTGGAGCTGCGGCACATGCACATCGCCGACGTGTCCAAGTGCGTGTGCGTGTGTGCGCGCGCACCGTGGGGTGGGCCCTTCTGCACGTGGTCCCGCCTGTATCCCTCCCGCCAGCATCACCCCCCCCCCCGCCCCCGCCTGTACAGGGCCCTCCGCCTTTGGTGAGTGCCCCCCTCAACAAGCCACGTCCCTCAGCCAACTCTCCAGGTCCCATGTGGGCTTGCACACAGCCTGGTGCAGGGACATTTGTGGGGGCTCCCAGCGCCCCCCCCAGCTGTGTGACCCCCACGCTGCCCTCAAGCTACATTCTCCAGCCCCACACCTCACCCCTACCCCCTCACTGCCAGGAAGGTCACGGAGCTCCTGAAGACCTTCTGTGAGAGCAAGAGACTGACCACCGACAAGGTACGCGGCCTGCCTGGGGAGGGGCTGCCGGGGCCTCAGCCTGGATCCCAACCCCCACTCCGTCCCTAGGCCAACATCAAAGACCTGTCCCACATCCTGAAAAAGATGCCACAGTACCAGAAGGAGCTGAACAAGGTGAGCCCAGGCCAGACCTGCCCCCGCTCCTGCCCCGTCTCCCCTTGGCTCAGTCTGTCACCCCTGTTCCCCCACACCTGCCCCCCATCTCCCCTCAGTCTCCATCACCCCTCACTCCCCCACACCTGCCCCTCATCTCCCCTCAGTCTCTTTCACCCCTGTTCCCCCACACCTGCCCCCCGTCTCCCCTCAGTCTCTGTCACCCCTGATCCCCCCACACCTGCCCCTCATCTCCCCTCAGTCTCTGTCACCCCTGATCCCCCCACACCTGCCCCCCATCTCCCCTCAGTCTCTGTCACCCCTCACTCCCCCACACCTGCCCCCCATCTCCCCTCAGTCTCTGTCACCCCTGTTCCCCCACACCTGCCCTCTCCCCTCAGTCTCCATCACCCCTCACTCCCCCACACCTGCCCGTCTCCCCTCAGTCTGTCACCCCTGTTCCCCCACACCTGCCCCCGTCTCCCCTCAGTCTGTCACCCCTGACCCCCCACACCTGCCCGTCTCCCTGACTCAGTCGCTGGGCCTGCCCCTCCCCCGCAGTACTCCACGCACCTGCACCTCGCTGACGACTGCATGAAGCGCTTCAAGGGCACCGTGGAGAAGCTGTGCAGCGTGGAGCAGGTGGCCGCGGCGGGAGGGCGGCCCGCGGCGGGAGGGCGGCCGGGGAGAGCTGCAGAGGCCGGGCCCTGGAAGGAAGCAGCCCCACGGGCTCAGGAGGCCCTGGGAGCCCCGTGTCCCCCCTCCCCCCCAGGCGGCTGACAGGACCCTGCCCTCCATGCCCAGGACTTGGCCCTGGGCTCGGACACCGAGGGCGAGAAGATAAAGGACGCCATGAAGCTGATCGTGCCCGTGCTGCTGGACGCCGCGGTGCCCGCCTACGACAAGATCCGGGTCTTGTTGCTCTACATTCTCCTCCGGAACGGTGGGTGGGGATGGTCTCAGGGTCTGTGCTTCAGCAGGTCTCCGGGGTCCTGGGCGTCTCTCGGCCCCGCAGCTCCCTGTCCTTGCGTGTCCCCACCTGCCAGGGTGACCAGCCCTCACAGGCGCCCCTCCGGGTCCCGGGACCTCCCCTCCATTGACCGGGGACCCTCATTGACATGGAGCTCCATTAACATGGAGGACGGACACTAAAAATCCATGACTCCTTCGAACTTGGCCCCTCAACTAATTCCAGGGGACCCCCGTCCACCCTGGAGGCTCCATCCCCACCCAGATTCAATGTCAGGCCCCCGCTTGCACTGCAGGCCCTGGCACCTCACACACCCTCACCCAGGTCGCATGGCCACCTTCTGCCCCCCGCCTTCTGCCCACCCCCCCCAGAGCCACCCCCATGAGAAGCCCACCGTGAAAGCCCCCCCCCCCCACCAGGTGTCAGCGAGGAGAACCTGGCCAAGCTGATCCAGCACGCCAACGTGCAGGCCCACAGCAGCCTCATCCGGAACCTGGAGCAGCTGGGGGCCAATGTCACCAACCCCGGGGTATGCAGGGGGGGAGGGGGGAGGCGGAGTGGGGGCGGTGCCTGTGGAGAGGGCAGGAGCCAGCTGAGCCCTGGGGGGTGGAGGGCACCTCCAGGGTTGGGGTCACAGGGTATGGTGTGGTTGGGGGGAGGGGCAGAGGATGCTGTGCAGTGGCTGGTCTGTCCCCAGCGCGGTCACCGTTCAGCAGGGTGGTGAGGTGCGGTCAGAGCCAGTCCTGGTGGCGGAGCGTGGGAGTGTGGTGCGGGCCCCCAGCGCGTGGCTCGTTGCTGCCCTGGGGCGAGAACCCACAGTGGGCCTGGGCTCCTGGGCGTCTCCGAGGACGCCTGTGCACCAGCACACACAGCTTTCCCCGCTCAGCCTGCTGCTCAGCCCCCCGCTCTCTCTGGCCTGTGCATCCTCCACACCCAGTTGCCTCCCATTCCCATCTCCCCTGGTCCCCTGGCTCCACCTCCCACCATCCCGGTTTCTCTCCGTCCTCGTCCTCCCGTCTCTGTCCTCATTTCTCTTTGTCCTCTTTCTCTTTGCTCCTCTTCGTCTCACTTCCTCTCTCTCTCCTCTCTCTCCTCTCTCCTCTCTCTCTCTCTCTCTCTCTCTCTCTCTCTCTAGTTCTGTCCATAGCCCCATCTTTCTGCAACTGCCCAAGCAGTAGGAGCCCTCGCCGCCTCCTCAGTTGCCCCACCGCCTGCCCCCTCCCGCCTGCAGGGCCCTGGGGCCTCCAGCCGGCTGGAGCGGAGGGAGCGCTTGGAGCCCACCTACCAGCTGTCCCGCTGGACTCCGGTCATCAAGGACGTGATGGAGGTACGGGGGAGGGGCCCTGGGAGGCTGGCGCTGAGGCCTCACCTCTCGTCCTCACCAAGTCCTGCATTGACCCAGGCATCAGCTCACAGCCTTGGGGCATAATGAAATATCCCTTGTTACAGGATCCCCAGCATCCAGTCTGCCCTGCCAGGGGGTACCCCAAACCCAGACCCAAGGAATTGGGGCAGCAGAAGGGCCCTGTGGGGAGGCTCACTTCCTCTCCACCCACTGGTGCCTCCTGTGACCCTCCCCACCCCCAGTCTCTTCCCCTGTCTCTGGGGAAGCCCCCCTTCCCCCCGCCCATCCTGGGCGCTAAAAGCAGCAAAAAGGAGAAGGGCCAGGCCAGGGGCCGCTTCCTGCCCAGCCTGCTGTCCCTGCGGAGTCCTTCCACCCGCTCGGTGACCTTGGCTGCTCCACGGACCCTGATCGCCTGGGCGCCTGGTCTCTGAGGCACTGGAGCCCAGCAGGGACGGAGGTCCAGGCTCCTAGGCCCCGAGGGGATGGAGATGCAGACGGTGGCTCCCGTCCATCCGCCAGCATCTTGGCTCCTGAGGGATCCTGAGCCGGGGCCCCATCGCCGGAAGCTTCTCTCCTAAGCTCCCTCTCTGGCCCCAGGATGCCGTGGAGGACCGGCTGGACCGCAAGCTATGGCCCTTTGTGTCCGACCCCGCCCCCATCCCGAGCTCTCAGGCTGCAGTCAGGTGAAGTCCTGGGGACGCCCCTACTGGTGCCAGGCCCGTTAGTTGAGGGGCAAGGGGGCCTGACCTCTGCCCTCGCCCGTTCCACCCGCACAGCGCCCGCTTCGGACACTGGCACAAGAACAAGGCCGGCGTGGAGGCGCGGGCGGGGCCCCGGCTCATCATCTACATCTTGGGCGGCGTGGCCATGTCAGAAATGAGGGCCGCCTACGAAGTGACCAGGGCCACGGACGGCAAGTGGGAGGTGCTGATTGGTGAGTACCAGCACGGGACCCTGGGCTGGGCTGGGCCGGAGCCTGCCTCCCCCATGCCCGGGTCCCTTGGGCTGGGGCTGGACCCCCAGGTCCCCTAGGAGGGTCGGCCTGATGCTGGGTTCCGGGTGCAGAGCTGGCACCTGGGAGGCCTGGGGGAGGGGAGGGGACTGGATCTGGGTCTCCGGGCTGGAGCCTGGTTCCCCGGGAGGGGGCAGCTGGGCTGGGTGCCTGTGTGTACCCAAGGCCTGGTCTCCCAGGGACCCAGGCATCGACCCCAACCCTCCCCTCCTGCCCAGGCTCCTCACACATCCTCACTCCGACCCGCTTCCTGGACGACCTCAAGATGCTGGACCAGAAGTTGGAGGACATTGCCTTGCCCTGACCCCGCCACGCCCCCCTAACCTGACCCTCCCTTTCCAGAAAAATAAAGTCCTCTCTCCCGTCCGGGGCCAGCACCCAGCTGCTTTCCTTCCTGGGAGCGGTGCCGCCGGCCTGTGGCTGTGCCTCTGGCCCCGTCACACCTGCTGTCCTGCGAGGTCACCCGAAGCCACGTGGGGTGCGGAACCTGGGCTCTGGTTTGAATATCACCTCCCAGACGGACTAGTGAGGGCCGGCCAGTGCGCTGGGCTCTGCTTCCCAGAAATGGGGCGGGTAACGCCACGGCTCTGCAGAGGCGGTAGGCGATGGCGGCAGAAAGCGGAGGGTGGGCTGCTGTTCCTCCATTGTCACTAGAGTTACCTTGACTGCCCCATGGGAGCAAACACAGTGCTCCCTCCCCAGCCCCGGGGACTGTCCTGAGAGGCTGGGGCCTTCTCCAGCTCCCAGGGTCAGGCTGCATTTACGTGTCCTGCCTGTTCCACCCCAGCAAGTCCGACCTCTCTGCTCCTCCTCCTCCTCACCCCAGGGTTCCCAGCGCTTCTCCAAGCCCTCTCAGCTCCGGCACAGAACTTAGCGGAGCCTGTCCTGGGGGCGCTCCTTTCCTAGGACATAACAAGTACTTAAACCACAAAGTTGTTTTCTCCCGGTGAGGAGGCTGGAAGTACAGATGAAGGTGTTGGCAGGGTGGCTTCTCCTGAGGCCTCTCTCCTTGACTCGTAGACAGCTGTCTTCTCCCTGCGTCCTCCCGGGGTCCCCCTCTATGTGTGCCCTCATCTCAAAAGGACACCAGCCATATCGGATTAGGTCCCACCTTAATGACTTCATTTTAAAAAATATATTTATTTTTTAATTGATTTCTTACAGAGAGGGATAGAGAGTTAGAAACATTGATCAGTTGCCTCTTGCACACCCCCTACTGGGGATGTGCCTGCAACCAAAGTCCATGCCCTTGACCAGAATTGAACCTGGGACCTTTCAGTCCTCAGGCTAGTGCTCTATCCACTGAGCCAAACTGGTCTCGGCCTAATGACTTCATTTTAACATCTCTGTAAAGGCCCTTTGAATACACTCATTCCGAAGTGCTGAAGGGACCATATGGGTTGTAGGGGGACACAGTTCAGCCCAGAACACTCAGCTGAAGTGCGATGTGAACCCAGTAGCACTAGTAGGACAGGTGAAGACCCTTGTCTCGGCTACAAATGCACAGCCAAGCAGAGGGTCTGTGGGAGGCCAGTCGGGCAGTCAGGGAAGGCTTCCTGGAGGAGGTAAGTTTGAGCTGAGAATGAAGAGGACATTTCACCCTCCCTCCTCCTCCTCTTCCTCCTCCTCCTCCTCCTCCGGGAAGGGAGGAGAGGACAAGGTGGAAGCAAGCGCAGGAGTGTGGAATGAAGCCAGAGTGACGGCATTAAGAGCCCAGGGCCTGGCGGGGAGGTGAGGACCGGTGCTGGGGGAGGGGGGGGGGGGGGGGATGGGGGAAAGCCCTGGAGGGTGGGGCCTGGTGGGGAGATGTGGACCGGTGCTGGGGGAGGAAGGAAGGGGATGGGGGAGGCCCTGGAGGGTGGGGCCTGGTGGGGAGGTGAGGACCAGTGCTGGGGGAGGGGGGAGGGGGATGGGAGAGGCCCTGGAGGGTGGGGCCTGGCAGGGAGGTGAGGACCAGTGCTGGGGGAGGAGGGAAGGAGAGGGGGGAGGCCCTGGAGGGTGGGGCCTGGCGGGGAGGTGAGGACCAGTGCTGGGGGAGGAGGGAAGGAGAGGGGGGAGGCCATGGAGGGTGGGGCCTGGCGGGGAGGTGAGGTCCGATGCTGGGGGAGGGGGGAGGGGGGATGGGGGAGGCCCTGGAGGGTGGGGCCTGGCGGGGAGGTGAGGACCAGTGCTGGGGGAGGAGGGAAGGAGAGGGGGGAGGCCCTGGAGGGTGGGGCCTGGCGGGGAGGTGAGGACCAGTGCTGGGGGAGGGGGGGGGGGGGGGGGGGAGGCCCTGGAGGGTGGGGCCTGGCGGGGAGCTGAGGACCGGTGCTGGGGGAGGGGATGGGGGAGGGGGAGGAGGAAGGGGGGATGGGGGAGGCCCTGGAGGGTGGCTGTCGAGCACTCGGCCACCTGGGGGTGCGGCCCGCCCTAGGCTGGGGCCCGCGGGGAGGGCTGGGCCCTGGCCCGGTTTTGAGGCCAGCTGTTCAGAACCCGGGCACCTGA